CCTTTAAAGACGCCAGTTGTTATGCTTGGGTTGATGTTGGAGTTATTATTTGAATATTTGTTATCGCATCCTTACGATGTACTTGAAACTCATAAAATCCATTCGTTGTATTTTTAATACAAATATCTAAAAAATTAGGTTGTTTTCTTTTGCTTTCAAGTTCAACAATATATTTTATGAAGGAGTTTTGTTCATTTAAAGTTTTAGGAAACAATTCTTGCTTTTCTTTTGAATCGAAGCAAGCATGGGTATCGTCTACATATCTTTTGTAAGTTATTAATTGGAATGAATTAACGAACGGTATATTAAGGGATCTTTTTTCTATACTTTGCAAAAATGCTTCTGCTATGACTTTATTCAATGATAAACCAATTGGACCTGAATTAGTTAAAATTCGGATTTTATCTTCGTATAAAAAGTAACATATACTTAACGAAAATTCAATTAATTGTTGTATATCTATGAGAGTTAATATAGTCCTAGTTTTTAAATCTTTAAGATCATTGTTCAATATGTTAATAATAACAGGAATTGCTTCATTGATTGGTACGGATGGATATAAATTAATTACATCGAAAAAAACCTGAATTTCATCAAGGCTTATCTTCCATTCTTTAGTATTGTTGACAAAGTTTCTTAAATTAATTAGTCAAGTTATATTTTTCTTTAATGTTGGTTGGATAGTTTTAACCAAATACTCATATGTTCCGTATGGAGGTGTGTTAATAGTGGAAACAACAGGACGCATTGAGAAGTTTTTTTCCGGTTTGTGTGCTTTAACTATTCCATAGATTCTATGTGGAACGCAGTCTGATGGATACATTTTAAAATAAATAGCATTGTCTAACTTACCCTGTTTTCTTAATTTAAATAATAGTTTTTGAAATTTAGTAGTGAATGTGGGTGTTAAGTCGTTATCAATAATTTTACTATTTTTTATTTGTTCTTTTAATTTACTTTTGGCTTTATTTTTGTATATTAAAGTAAAACCTCTTCCTTTGTCAAACGGATATATCTTTAGTTGTGAATATTTTTTTTAGGTTTTGTAAAGAAAAGCGTTGCTGTTTTGTTAAATTATTTTTAATTTTAAAGAACTGGTTAGAATTTTCAAACAGTTTTGTTGTAGAATCTCTGTCTGAGTTTATTTATTTTGTTGTTCGAGTTCTAAGGACCAAGTTTCAATACTTTTTTGTCCATTTAAGGGATTTTGTCCATTTAAGGGATGTTCTTTTGTTATGGGAGAAGTTTTGGACCAAGATTATGTAGTTCAGTAGTTGCTTTATCCAAATTAATAATTATTAAATTTAGTATAGCTGGACAATTTTTTTCAAAATTAATTTTTAAACTAATGCCATTTTGCAATTTATAGTATTTTTCTTTCATTTCAGTTTTTTTTTTAAATAATGGTAATCCTTAGATTTGTTCGTTATATTATTATCTCATAATCATTAGATCTTATTTGAGATTTAAGATGTAAATTTAATTCAACAATAAGACAACTTCTTACTTGAATATAATCTTTATTTTGGTTCATTTCGAGTATAAGCTAATAATATTTTTATGTATTCTTTCGTTATATTTTCAGCTTTTTTGATACGTAGTGGACTTTTTATTTTAAACGATTTTGGAATTATTTTGTTTGATAAGCATTTTTCAAGAAAAACGAGTTTATTTTTTGCAATTGCATTTTGTATCTTCAAAATTTTTAATTTTTTCGTTTCATTGTAAATCTCTTTGCCGTAAAGTGCAGTAATAAAGTCTTTAAAAGTCATATTCTTGTTATACAATATGTTTATAATATGTAAGTTGATTTCAATAAACAGCGTAGAACTATTTTTAAATATAGTTGATATAATAATATATTAAAGATACTTTGCTGGCCTATTGTGGTCAGCGTCATCAGGTAATAATAAAAGGTTACAAAATAACATAAAACAAACCGACTAAAAATAAGACATTAAAAAGCGTCAAATATAAAAACCAATTAAATAATATAATAATGATGTCAGTTAAATTTTTGTCAAAATGGGTCCCCAAGTTCTTGTTTTAACTTTATCCTCGTCGTCTTGATTTAGAAAACTTTGTCCAATACCTATCTCATATCGAACTCTTGTTTTGTTAATCTCCAGGGATTCTCTAATTTTTTTTATCCTCTATTCTGGAAAGACTGCCAAGGATTTAGCGAATCAAAGTTTCCACAGCATGTATTAAAATGTTCCGTGGCTCCTGAACTCAACCTATTTTGATTTATACAAGCTTTTTGGTGTACTGCACTTCTTGAAATGATTTTCCTTTTGATCTCACCCATATGTATATTTCCACATGAGCATTTAAGTTGGTAAACTCCCGCATTTGAGTTCGGAGATTTGTTTTATCGTTGCATATGTTATTTAAAGTGGGAGCTAAAATAAATATAACTCTGATGTTTTGTTTTGTAAATTCTCTTCGGAGTTTTCGCCCAATAATAGGTATCCAAGTTAGTTTAATACAGTGGCGTAGCTACCTAGGGGCTTCGCGCGGCAGTGCCCCGGAGCTTTCAAGCTCAAGGGGCCCTCGAATCCTTACCAGAAATCTGTGTAAGAAAATTGCGTCAATTGCTTCAAAATAATGGTAGGCCCGACCTTTATATAATAAACCCTTAAATCTTCTCTATTTTGTTTTAAAGTATTTGTATATTTCATATTTTTATTTGATAAAACCTAATCAGTTTACATAGCAGTGGGCCCCATTTTTTTAATCTGCGCCAGGGCCCTTGGTTACCTAGCTACGCCACTAATTTAATAAACTGTTTATCTAACTGATTAGATGTAGTATTTTTTGAAACGCGGTCTTGATAGTTTTTGGTTATTTTGATGCTTTTTAATGTTATTTTGTAACATTTTATTATTGCCTGTTGACGCTGACCACAAAAGGCCAGCAAATGATCGTTAATATATTATTATATCAAATATATTTTAAAATACGCTGCCTTTTATTGAAATCAACTTACATATTATAAACATATCGATAAAAAGAATATGACTTTTAAACTTTTAAAGTGCCTCCCGGCACTTTAGGCTTCCTGGAAGTACTTAACCAAAGACACGCTAGTTTTTTAATTGCTAGAAATTAGAGCGAACTTGCTGCACGTAATGCTCCAGGGAGTTTTAAAGTTCTTCAACCATACCCAAATCAAGCTTTTTGAACTACAGTTTCTTGTTAACTTTATTAACCATTCCATGATTCTATTCCAAATGATTATTAAAATAGCTGTCTGAAAGTTGTTCCATTTTGGTGAAAGGTTGAAAGGCCTTTTTGCTCTTGATTTTGATTTCTGATTGTTGTTAATATCAAGAAGAGCCGCCTATATAGAAAATATTTGTTAATAAGTGTTTACAACTACAAATAAAAAATGTTTTTATTCGATTTTCTAAATTATTTTTAATCGCCTTGTAAATAGAATAACCCTTTTCAATTGCATTAATTGCAAATGCTTAATTAGCATCAGCACGAGCTGAAAAACAAGTTTGTGAGAGAGTTTAGGGACCCTTAAAACGTGTTCCAGCAAGGAACATTCACTTTAAGCAAGAATTAAAGAGAACATCGATCTCTTTAATTCTTGCTTGTAAACCAAAGTAGATACCAGACATATTACTAGCATTTTCATATGACTGGCCATAGCCAATTTGAATATTGATAGCATTCTAATCTAACTTTTTCAAAACGATTTCAAGCATGGAAGTTGCAAAATGATTATGAATGGGAATAAATGCTAAGAGCCACATAACTGGTTTTCCGTTTTGTACATTGGGAGTAGAACCAACGATGAACGTTACTTAAGGATGATCATATTACCTATAAATTCCATAACCTCGGCGGCTATGTGAATGAGTTCTTTGCAAATCTTTTTAGATAAGTATGACATACAATTTTCTCCTTTGTTTCCATGAGTTATCAAATATTGTTCAAGGAAATGATCAAATTTTACTAATAGCTCAATGCATTTAATAAAGTTTCCGTTGCGTATCGATCCTAGTTTTTCGTCTAATCCGCGGAATGATAATCCGATGAGAATGAGCAATGAATAAAATATCCAAGTATTTTAAATTTCTTTTTTCACCATTATGTTCGAACTCAAAAGTTCTTTCCAGTCGTTAAAAAAATAAAACGTCCAGTTTGCAATACGTCGTATGCGCTGTTTTACAAAGAATAAAAATCTCTGGGACATGAGAGGAAATCAAGGATAGAGGCCGATAACAATTTTTCTTTTATATTTATCTCTCTCAAATATTCATCTAAATGCTCTGGCCCCTTGAACTCTGTGGCCTCCCGGCACGTGTCCAGTGGTTAAACCGGCACTATATATATAAGTATATATGTATATATATATATATATATATATATATATATATATATATATATATAATATATATATATATATATATATATATATATATATCCTGCAGATATATTTCAAATAAATTTAACAAACTAAAATTAATAGCAGAATACTAATTTAACTAACTACATAAACATCCCGCCAGATAAATAAATGCAATATAAGAGGGCTCTTCATAAAGCTTGGTTTTGAATAGTTGTAGAAATGTCGTTCAACAGTTGTACAACAATAATGTTTTTTTTTCTTGCGTAAGTTAACATCGGTTGTACAACAAAATTTATGTTGTAAAACAAAGGTTGCGGAGATAGAATTAAACCTATTTCGTCAACAATTGTTGTACAACAAAAACGTACAACTGTTGCACAACATTTCTACAACTGTTGGAAACCAAGCTTAAGAACCGGCATTAATAGGAGCCACAAATTTATAAAGCCCTCTAAAAAACGTCTTACATTTTTCGGCGCCGTACAAGCAAAAAAATTAAACGTATTTAAAATCAGTAACATTTAAAGCAGTTCTGCGTTTTCTTTCTATAAAAGCATAATGAAACAATGTTTAAGTACTGTTTTTTTACAAATAAGTAAACAATATATAAGGATTATAATAATAGAATAGATGATAATTCTCCGTGACTTGTAATATTTTTAAAAGATGGCGGAATCAGAGGGCATGTGTGAAACACAAAATACCAATACTGTACTAAAAACCACGATTTCAGATCGTGTTTATAATTTTCTCATAATAATCTTTGAATATATTTTTAAATTTTGGTTTCTTGTGTTTTTCATGATAGTTTGGTTTCTTAGAGAACCAATAAAACTAGCAGATGCAAGTAATACAGGTGAAAGAAGGAACAAATATATTGTTTATCTAGGTTTATATATATATATATATATATATATATATATATATATATATATATATATATATATATATATATATATATATATATATATATATATATATATATATATATATATATATATATATATATATAAATATAATATAAAAATATAATATTTTCTTTATATACATATATTATATAATATATGTATATATATATATATATATATATATATATATATATATATATATATATATATATATATATATATATATATATATATATATATATATATATATATATATATATATATATACATATGCATCTATATATATATATATATATATATATATATATATATATATATATATATATATATATATATATATATACATATATATGTATATATATATATATATATATATATATATATATATATATATATATATATATATATATGTATATATATACATATACATATATATATATATATATATATATATATATATATATATATATATATATATACATATACATATACATATATATATATATATATATATATATATATATATATATATATATATATATATATATATATATATATATATATATATATATATATATATATATATATATATATATATATATATGTATATATATGTATATATATATATATATATATATATATATATATATATATATATATATATATATATATATATATACATATGTATACACATATATATACACACACACACACACATACATATATATATGTATATATACCATGACTGTTTTACTCAATATAGAAATGAGCCTGACATCCCAAGTTTATCAAAAAAAAAAGCATTTCCGCCAGGGGTGTGGATTTATAAAAACTCCAAAGCAAAATTTTGAAAAAGTTCTCTGAATTCTTAAAAAAATATTATGCGACAAGTTAAAAAATTTATTTTTGCCAAATTTATGAAAAGTTCTTTGAGGTTTAGTATGAATACAAGGTTAATTGAATATTTTGTACATGCATGTGCAATACCGAGAAGTTTTACTATTGGAGTCGGAGTCAGTTTTTTTTAGCATCTCTGACTCCGCTAAAAAAGTTGTGACTCTGCAACTCCACTGCCCTGATTTCCGCATAAAAAAGTATAAAAATTCACTAACTTTAAAATAATAGTATTTTTTTTAATAAACGCTATAATTATCAAATAACAAAAATATCTGTCTTTTCTTGTTAAATAATTACATTAAACAGAATAAAAATAAATAATGTTAAAATATTGCCAATGATTTGTGATCACTTTTCTGTTTTTTTCGGTATTTACAATAAATCTCTCTCGGGACAATTATAATGGCATAACATAGCTACATGCTTGATAGCTGAAAATTGTAAAAATTATCAATAAAAGTCTGTTCTATCTGATTTTCGGTGCCCTTTGCTAATTTTTTCAAAATAGTTATTTTTAATGCATTTTTATTTTTAATTTAATCACTATTAAATCAAAATTGTAATATTTTTGCAAAGGACAAATTATTAAAATTGTAATCTTTTATACATATAAAAATCAAGAAATTATTATCTGTATCTCTAGCTATGTTATGCCATATGTCTTCAAACCTGGCTGGATTACAACATTTTTTCTATTTTATGCGTAAATTTTAGTTCACATTTTAAAACAATCCCGTGACCTTTAATATTTTACGAGTAATTAAATAGCAATAAGCTTTACTGATTTAAATATTGCCTGTTTTAGTGAAGAATCAGGTTTAAATAAATTTCTTTTTAAGTTAAAGTGGTCAATGTGTATATTTAATAATAAATATCTAAAATATACTTTTTCAATTTATTTCTTTTTTTGATAAAAAGTGACAACAAATAACTAAAATTTAGCCAAGCTCATTATTTGGTGCGTTTTATCTAAAATTTAAGAAGTAAATTTATATATATATATATATATATATATATATATATATATATATATATATAAATTTCTTATTTGTCATTTCTATAATGTATAATAAATACTATTGTTGTAAAGTTTTTTTCCTCGCACATAAGAAATTTAAGAAGTAAATTTATATATATATATATATATATATATATATATATATATATATATATATATATATATATATAAATATATATATATATATATATATATATATATATATATATATATATATATATATATATATATATATATATATATATATATTATACTGTTAAGCAGCCTAAAATAATTATTTTTTTTTTGCTTTTTATGCTCTTGTCAGTGGAGGCTTTTTTAACATATGGAATATTTATTGGAGTAATAATTCAAAAATGTTCCATGGCAAACCTTCAGTCAATGTAGCAGCACATTTCCTCATAGCAGCAGACTATAAAGTAGTCGATGTATGTACTGAAACCAATAAATATCCCTCATGTTTAAAAAGTCTCCACAGACAAACAAAGTTAAAAAAATATGAAGGGAAATAAACTCCAAATTTTTTGAATGTGACCTAGATTGTCTCTGATATATATTTTCCTGTGAGTTTTCCTGATTTTTAAAATATGACTATCTGATATATATTCTTCTTGAAAGTTGTAAATCTGAAAAAGTTAAATGAATAATTATCAAAGTTTATAAAAGCAGTAAATAATTTATTTTTGCCTGGGTGAAAATACATCAGCTGCTGCAAGCTTCAAACTGTTATAGATAGCAAATTCACTCCCAGGAAGGCTGCAAACAATCACTGTTTTTGTTGGGAGGTAATAGTAAGCATAAAGAGAGTTAAATATCAAGCAAATATATATTTTGTATATACAAATATATAAGTTGTATGAGCAGGGTAAAATTAGGGCAGGAGTGAATTTCTAAACTATGATGTGCGAGGAAAAAAACTTTACAACAATAGTATTTATTATACATTATAGAAATGACAAATAAGAAATTTATAAAGGTAGAGAATAAAATCAGGAGTAAGATTATCACGAGGGTGATAAAGACAACATTATCATAGACTAATTCTGCAATACATTGTACATATTGTTTCCATGAGAGGTAAATAGTAAATGATAATTTAGGAAGTTGTAAAGCATTGAACCCATTAGGAATGCTGCTATTTATCAATTTAGAAATGTTGGAGGCATAATATTTAGAATATAAAAAACATCAGTCTAAGTTTCATCACAAAGAAAGTCACAATACGATTTCCAGTTAACCCTAAGGTAGTAATGAAAAGTGCAACTATAATCTGAATTGATTATTTTAATGAGTCGTCTGAAGCTCCATAAGGATAATAAGGAGAAACTTAGCACAATATAGGATCTTAGAGAAAACACAAATTAAGGAGCAATCATAATGAATTGGCTTATCTAATTGACACATCAGAAAGTTAATTAATTGTGTAAGAGATTAAGAAAGTTCTGAGCTTTAGCACCAACAGGGTAAGTTGTACTAGAGTCAAGTTATTCACTTTGATAAAAATTAAGTTTACCAACTAGAACAATATGATTTAAAAAAGTGTTTTGTCAATTTGATCAGAAATAATACAGAAATGAGTGGATTCTTTTTAAGAAAAAAATGTTGAAGTATGAAAAGAAAGGTGATTGATTAAAGAGTAGCTAAACAAAGGTATATAAAGAAATAGTCAGAGGATTTGATACTTTTTCAACAAATAGACAGATTGTTATATAAGTGTTTACCCTGGTTAAACATGGGGCTATTACCGTAGTCAAGCATGGGGCTATAACAGTCTTTGTGAATCTTAGGGTAATAGCTGTCAATTTTGAGAGCTGAAAATAAATATTTAAATGATAAGAAAATGAACAGCCAAATTTAAGTTTTACATAGAGTAACTAGATTTGTTGAGTTTTGCGTTAGGCTAATTCAACAAAAGGCATATGAAAACTCTCTTTAAAAAAAATTTTAAATTTTAGATTTAAATTGTTACAAATAACTTGCCTCAACCATAGTACTAGTACTTGACATTGTAAGTAATAAGTTATCCTGTAACCTCATTTTTGCTAATCTAGAGAATTTTAAGAAAGTAATTTTTTTGTGGCTTTGACAATCCATACCATAAGCAGTAATAGGTTTTCACTTGGCAAGCAAGGTTGACATTCTAAAAGTATTGAGTAGTACTGAGCTAAACTTTAGAAAAATTTGTATTTTTCTAGACTACAGTTGCTCCCTCAAGTTTGGGAAGGTGAATTTAAATGTTTTATATTCAAATAGTTTTTTAGTAAGGTTTTTATGAGATATTTATGCATTACCTGTTATCAATGTAGTTTATCCAGTTAACAATGTAGTTTATAGCTGCATAAACTTTATTCACTATGTAATTCTAATAGTAATATAGTTAGTTGTGTTTCTTAAGTGTTTTAATAATGCACAGTTATAAATTTTGATTTTATTTTTTATGTGAATATATTACAAGTCCCTTTAGCCTACCCAAGTCCTTATATTATATGCTTCTTATAAAATAATGTTAGTTGAGAAAATCATTCTGCTTATCATTCTACTTTAATGTTTTAAAATGATTTGAACTATATTCATAAATCTATATAATCTATATCTACTCAATGTTTTAAAATAATTTCAATTTTATTCATGAATCTATATAATTCTTGTTCTTGAAAACAAAGTTTTGTTTCTGAAAAAATAAGGTTTTTCTGACCACCATCCACCACGCACCTACTGTCAAACATGTCCAAGATTATTCTTGTCTACTATTTATTCACATCCAAATCTATCCACCATCAACTTTGTTCACCATCCACCCATTGTCAAATCTTTATCTTTATATAAACATTTAATACAGCTTATACTTCTTATTGAATTCATTCTTATGTGATATGTATATTTTTTTATAAAGGCAAAATATTGTTTTAATTTGTGTTCTGACAAACATTTTTATTTGTTTAGTAATAATGTTTCTGTCCACTCTCACCCCAAAATTTTATGTGGCGTTAACTGCAACATCATCTTTTCTGTCTGGTTTAATACTTGTAAGTTTTTTTTTTTGTTTTTTTTTGTTAATTCACCTCCTCAAGGCCAAGTAGGCCACTACTGGCAAAGAGGCTACTTATTTGTGGTTATAAATCTCTCTTAACTCTATAACTCCATAACACAAACCTTGACAAACAAGGCCTCTGCTTAGAGAAACGATTGTAAACAAGTTGTTTTTTTTGTATGTTTTTCTGTTTAGTTCTAATAAATTAAAAAGTTTTACTGTCTTCTAAAAATAAAAAAGAAGAATATGCTAAAAGATAAAATAGTTCTATTGTTTTGTATATATACTTGAATCTTATTAAAAAATATATATATTATAGTCTTTTCAATCTTTTTTTTAGATTTTTGATTGGTGGTATTTTTGCAAATATGGGAGTTCTTTTATAGAATATTTTTCAGTCTCCTATTTTGGTCCATTTCTAGGACTTATTCCAAATCAACAAAATACAAAGCAATTAATTGCTGGTAATAATTTTTTTTTAACTTATAATTTTTTTTTATTTTGATTTATTTTTTAATACAATTATAAGATGGTTTGACAAATTATTACAAGTATATATAAATCATATTACAAAGTAAATACACAAGAAATAAAAGTTTAAGAATTAAAAAAAATTAATTATTAAAATAAAAGATGAGTGCTTACTCATTCACATAACACAATTTTTGACGTCATAAAGTTCTTTTTTTTGTTTTATTTTTCATATTTATTGACATTAACTTTTTTTAACTACCGCAGTTTACTAAATTACAGCCAAACTAGTTTAATTGAATAATTAACTCAAAACAATGCAGAAATTTTACTTAGATTCCCATTTTTAATATATAAAATTATTTGTTTTTTTTTTCTTGACATTAGACACAAACATTTTTCATTTATAACTAAATGAATAATTTTTTATTCATGATTTTGTTTTCTTGAATATGTATTAACAGTTTTATAAATAGCAATTCAGGTCTTGTTAAGAGGCAGCTTGCATTTTATGTATGAAATGGCAATTTGCATATACAGCATGAGAATGACAATTTGCATCAGCATTTTAATGTTAAGCAAAAACTGTTTTATTTGGAATATTTAAATAATCTTTTAACAACGTTTATTTAGAAAATATCAAGTCTTAAAAAAAAACATTTGTTGAATTGGGTCGGTATTCGACCTAACTGCAAAACTAAAAGTGTTTGAGGTCGGCAAAAAATTGCCAACCTCATTTCTATGTTTTATGGTAAGATCTTTATATCAAATTTTTTTGATGACCTGATGTCGATCTATAAAAGGTTGAGGTCGGCAAATTATTACCAACCTCATTTTTCCTAATTCCGAGGGTTATATATATATATATATATATATATATATATATATATATATATATATATATATATATATATATATATATATATATATATATATATATATATATATATACCCATATAGTGTAGCTTTAAGAGCATTTTAATGTAAAAAAAGTCTCTTACGACTACAATTTTAATTACCTCGTCTCTTAAGCTGTTTTTGATTGTCATCGAAATGTCAAAGCAATTAATTTATGCGGAAGTACATTAAATTTAATTGTTTTTTAAAAAATTTTTAAAAAACCGCAATTATAACGACTAGAAAGTTTTTTTTAATTAGTGGTGTTTTTGTTATTGATTTAATAAAAAACATTTTTAAAACATGCGTAAATGTTGCTACATCGACTATCTTATAGCCTGACTCGCAACGGAGTGCTGCTACATCGACTGACAAATAGCCTGACTCGCAACAGAGTGCTGCTACATCGACTGACAAATAGCCTGACTCGCAAGAGAGTGCTGCTACATCGACTGAGGGTTTGGTTTGGCCAGGCAGTCTATCAATTAAAAAAAATATATATAATTTTTAAAACTTTTTCTGGTCTTGTTTATTAACGCGCTCTTTAAAACTACAGTTTATGGGAAACATTTTTTGATGCCGCGCAAGAGACATGCAAGAGTATATATATATATATATATATATATATATATATATATATATATATATATATATATATATAAATTTAATTAAATTTTTATCTTTATATAAACATTTATATATATATATATATATATATATATATATATATATATATATATATATATATATAAATTTAATTAAAAGAGTTTAAATTAAATTATTTAAAAATTTAAATTTAGTTTTGAAGGAATGTAAAGTAGTTATTAAAATGTAGCATGTAAAATTTAGTTTCAAAGGAATGTAAAATAGTTTTGCAATATTTATTAAAGAAAATTTTTCTTCTTATCTACTAATTCATTACCTAAAATTGTAAGTTCTATAATCATAGATTAAATTATGTGAAAGTAAATAAAAAACTTTATTTTTTATTTAAAAAAAGGTAGTAGTGTTTTTGTTAAATAATATTTTTTTTTACAAGTATATCTAAAGTTTTTTGTTACTTATTAATTCAATGTCATGTAATATTTTTTTGTCATAATATATGAACATAAATTATATTTATAAATATCTTATTGCTAACTGATAAAAATTTATCTATAAATGTTCATAATCTCTATTTAAAATTTTATATTAAATATGTTTATTTAATTTAAAAAATAAATAAGTTGTGATAAAGAAACAAAAGATTATGTTATGAATAAGATTATTTTAAGGAATAAATGAAATAAAATCTATTTTACCATTATTTTAAGAAGTAAGGAAATAAAATCTTTTCAAACTTCAAATTTAGATTTCATCAGTAATTTTTTTATATTAGTATAAATGATTTTTAACGCGGTTTAATATTAAAATTAGTTATATTGCAGTACTTAACACAGGGTGGCCACTGGTCATGGAAATCATGGAAATGTCATGGAATTTT